TCTATCTATCTATCTATCTATCTATCTATCTATCTATCTATCTATCTATCTATCTATCTATCTATCTATCTATCTGTCATCTATCTATCTGTCATCTATCCATCCATCCATCTATCCATCATCCACCCACCCATCTATGTATATATTTGTATACACTAAGGTATATAAAAGGATTGGATCTTTATAAGCATCCTTTTGAAAAAGCCAACATTATTATTTTCCCTGGTCCAAGTGCTAAGTTTCCCCCAAATAATTATTACATAACACTATGAACATTATATAATTTGTCTAAAAAGAACATAATTTAAATAACACAGAATTGTGATTATTCTTAAAGCATAGCGTATAACATTTCCCCATCATTCTGCACAGATGCCAGAAACTAAAGATAGTAGTGCAATTCATAAAATTAATTCTAAAAACTGAACAAATCTTAGATGTCACAACTTCTAAACAGTTTTCCAATTCACTATACTTTTAGTTGTTCTAATTTCAAATACCTTAGAATCTCATTTGCATATGTAATACATCTACTGAACTTAATAAGGTCAGTATGAAGAACTTACTTCATCACTTTCCACTAGGTTTTCAAACTGAAAATAGATACAATATTTCAATTAATCAGCACAAGTAATGTGTTTAAGGAAGTACCAAATACATATCTACTTCAGGCAAAATAACTGTGTTGTGTAATAAAGCTGAACAGCTATATTTTAATAAAACCTGTAAATTATTATTTTAAATTTAAGTACATAGTACAAATATATAATTTTGCAATATATATTATATATAACTTAGATATAATAGTTAACAATGATGCAGAAAAATATATTGCTCAGTTTTATCTTTAAATTAATAAATAACTGACTATGCATTAGTATTTGTATTAGGAATATATAAATTTATTCCACTTTGTCTACAGATAATAAAATAATACCAAACAGTTTTTATTTGATTCATTAAATAAAGATAGTAAGACTGACCTAGGATCTAGGGCAATTTTTTTGCTTATTTATTTTCCTTATTTGAATGCAAACTATTTGCTAAAACCTTTACATTTTTATATAAGACCACCAGATATTCTATGTACATATGATCTAATTTGGGTACAGCTTTGCCAAAACCTTGGGCTTATCTCTGGTTCTACTGAACATAGCTTTCTTAAGGACAGAGATTATCTATATAGCAAAGTCAATTAATGTCTCCTAATTTTAGCAGATATTTATTTGATTTTGCCCGTATAGAAGTCCAAAAACAATTTAGAAACTTGTTTTAAATATTTTAAACTGTCTTCAAATCCTATATAAAGTACTTGTAGATATTGTAATCAAATCTCAAAAATATTAGAAAGTCAAGTCTTTTTTTTCTGATTGGTTTGGGGATGAAGTGTTATGATACCCAAAAAAAGAGTTTGAAGTTTTACTTTTTTGAACAGCTATAAAACAATAATAAAACTATATTTAAATCAAATTTAAATCTGAAAAATATTCTGATGTTATAAATATATATATATAAATATCTTATTGCATACTATATCATTGTAAATTGTGAATATTTTATTCCTTTATTTGCATTGCTCTACCTAATTTCAGTCTCAACTCATGCCCTTCCCCATTTGTATAGTTATTTATTAATCTTCTGCCATATAATTACTTTATAAATAGCCAGATGAAGACATTGAAATAAAAAATTAACATGGTACCGTGTTTCCCCGAAAATACGACAGGGTCTTATTTTCTTTTGCCCCATGAAATATGGCCTTGGGCTTATTATCAGGGAGGGCTTATTGTTTTGCGGTTGCCGTGCGGCTGCTCCCTTGCGAGCGAGCTGCCTAAGAGCTGGGCACAGCCTCAGGGGCGAAGCAGCCATGAGGTAACCATGCTCATGAACAGCCGCCCAGTAAATCTCCTCTCCAGCCGGGCAGAGCGCCATTCACTGACCTAGGAGATATCACTAAGGTGCCAAGCCATGTGGCGCTCTGCTCGCCGCCCAGCTCCCGCGGCTTGGCACATTCGGGATACCCACTAGGTCAGTGCATGGAGCTCTGCCCGGCTGGAGAGGGGGAGTGCGCGAGCGCATGTTCCACCCCCCAGCCTCACCAAGCCCTTGCGCAGCTCTCCCAGGGCACCGCCGCTGGCCACCTGCCACCACACTCCGAGCATAACTTCCAAACTCCAAAACTCGGGGCCGAGTCTTCCAGCATCGGCCACTCTAGGAGTGCTCTCTATGGTGGGTCGGCTGCTGGGAGACTCTCTGTCCGGCCCCAAGTTTTGGAGAGGGCAGAGTGCCACATGGCTTGGCACCTTAGTGATAACCCCTAGGTCAGTGAATGGCGCTCTGCCTGGCTGGAGAGGGGATTTGCCGGGTGGCTGCTCGTGAGCGTGGTCACCTCATGGCTACTTCGCCTGAGGCTGTGCCCGGCTCTTCGGGAGCCAGCTCGCAAGGGAGCAGCCACCCAGCAACTCTCTCCTCTGGCCAGCCAGAACGCTACTCCCCAACTTAGTGGTATCCCAAAGGCGGCAAGCAACATGAGCACCTTTCCCCCCCTCCCGGCTCCCGCAGCTTGGCATCTTTGGGATACCGCTAGGTCGGTGAGTGGTGCTCTGCCTGGCCGGAAGGGGGGGGAGGTTATTTTCGGGGGTGGGCTTATATTTTTGCCCAAGCGAAAAATGTGGCAAGGCATTAGTTTCGGGACAGGTTGTATTTTCGGGGAAACAGATTTTGATCAATTTCCCTAAACAAGGTACCTTAAACGATTTCCATGAATTAATATTTGAATATTTTTAATATATCCAATAAGTGTAAATTTTTAAGAGCATCTTTAACATTTTAGATATGATTACCTTCAAATAACTAAGGTATTTTATGTTAATTTTGTGCTTCATAAGCTCTATAATATATTTGTATTTTTTTTCTATGTTGATTGTTTTCAATTTAGTAAGATTCATATATACACCTATCAAATCACCAAAGTTCTTTAAAAAATTAAATGGGATAAAATTTGAATTAACAATTAACAAAAACTAGATGATCATCAAACAAATTAACTTTCATCTGAATTATTTTAAACTATATTCCTTTAATATTCTTTGGGCTATTGTCTAATTTCTGCAGCAAATTAACTTCTAGGAAAAGCAAAAATATTGGTGACAGAAGAGTTTTGTGTGCTTAGCAGCCATTTACAATCACCTACATGCAATAGTTCACTGATCTTTTGATGTTTGAAAATCTACTGATAACTGGAAGTCACAGATTGTCTTTTGCCATTTCTTAACTTTTCTAATGTTTGACTTTTGCAGCTTTGGGAAATTATACGCAATAATGAGCAAACGTAGGACACAAATATTAAGGAACCAAAGAGCTCAAAGAAGCTGGTAATTTGTCACCACCTTCCATCCCTTTTACCCAGTCACATAATGGAACATACACAGTTCATAAGTGAATGAGTGTTATTAGATGTATTTTATCCCAATATTACAGTATTTAATGTCTTCTTTGCATTTTAATGAACATAAAACATAGTGTATTGTGATTTTAATTATTGTCATTGTTAAGAACAGAATGTCCCAAATTGATGTGATTGAAATTAGCAAACAAATAATTTTAACTGCTCAAAATTCTTTATTTATAGCATAATATTTCAGCCAGCAAATCTGCAATAAGAAAAACATCATGCTAGTTTCATAATATGACTATAATGGTATTTAAAATATTTACTTACCTCTATAGTGAAATGTTCTCCTGTTGAGCATGTCCTGAAGTACTTTGATCTAGAATATAAACCAACAGAATTACTGCTATATTTAAAAAATCATCAGAATAATTTTTCCCTTGTTAAAATGTTTAATAAACTCTATGTGTAATATTGTATACTGTACTTTTCAATACTTTGTCACGAGAAGACTGCACATAGTTACATGCCCCTTTTGTAAAAAAATACTCTTTTAATAAAAGCTTGATCAGTCTTTCTTAGCAAAGAAAGGCATGAAATTAGAACTTGATTCCTAAATCCAAAGTTGCTACCATTTGTGCATTGCTAAAAATATTCTGCAGACAGAGTTTACATATCACATTACACCATGTTTGTTTAGACTTGGTTTTCTGAATAAATCACAATTTATTACATTAATACAAAACTAATACAACCTTGTGGCAGTGTAAAGCAATGGGTGAGTGAAACAACCATATACAAGCCTAATTTGGAAACAATATATATCTGAATAATTGAAAAGAAACACCTAGCTCTGCTGTATTGCAATACTGTAATTTCTGCCAGCACATATTAGCAGAACAGCAAAGTATACAGTTGAATCTCCTTTCCTATCCTTCTAGAAATAAAGAATTAGAAATTACCGGTCTATTTTGCAGAACACTAATTTATCTGTTCTCAAGTGAATAAGTAATGATGCACTGACCTGTAAAGAAGGGATTGGTACATTCAATATGATACTATGAAAGAAATTATTAAAGACAGTAAAGTCTGTCTATATGGTATGTAAAAATGTGTATCAGCTATAAAATGGGCGTTGGTTTCTATCTGATACGCCCTTTCTCAGGACGGTGGAGACATCATCCAGGTATGGGTATGATTCCATCAGGATCCAATACGACTGGGTCTACAAGTATTAAAGGGATGCCCACGAGGCCCGGAAGCCACTCGCTCCTCAGAGCATCCATGCCCTCAGCCCCTGGAGTCGCATAGTGTGCAAAGTACCTTTGTAGCTGATTGTTGCCCTGGGAGGCAAAGAGGTTGAGTACTGGAAGTCCGAACCTGACCGTCAGTTGCTGGAAGATGAGACGATGTAAGCTCTACTCTGCTGGATCGATGTGCATGCGGCTGAGGCCGTCTGCCTGAGTGTTTTGGGCCCGCGCTATGTGCTCAGCCTGGAGAGACAACAGGTCTCTCCTGGATTTTGTCCCCCCCTCCCTTGCCGGTTTGTGTGTGCTTTGGTGGTGGTATTGTCCGTAAGGACGAGCACGTACGCATTGGCCACGAGAGGTTCAAACCGAAGCAGGGTGAGAAACACAGCTCTTAGTGGACACCATCTTTCCCAGAAGTTGAGACAGATGAATGAGAGGAAATAAAAATGGCCGCCACAGACTTCACGCTCAAACCAAACGGCCACCCGGGTAGACAGGGCCCTGAGGAAGGGCTGAGGTAGCGAGCCAACAAGGCGGCTTAGCACTAGGTAATTAGGCTGCCCGCCAAACGCTCCGACATCAGGAAGTGGAATTTGAGGCTCTAAGAAAGACGCTGCTGAGGCGGCAAGAAGAGGCAGCAGCGTGAAAAATGCCCAGCGCTCCGCAATTAGAAATGGCATCTCAGGAAGCACGGCTGCAGCAATCAGCTTCTCTGGCAGCGTGGCTGCAGCGATCGGCACTTTGGGCGGCGTGGCAGCAGCGAGAGACAATGAAAGGAGCCTGAGGGAAAACCTCGTAGGTTGGCCGCCAACTGTCTCCGCTGCTTGAGCAGCTGAGTCAGGGAGAGGCACGAGCCTCCTAGAGGCTGCAACGTCTTAAAAGAGCAACCAATTAGCGCCAATCGTACACAATTTGAAAGAAAACCAATTAGAGAATTTTTGGAAGAATTTTAGAGTAAAATGAATTAATTAGCAAGCAGAGATAAGGAGACACAGCTAATTGAGGGATCGACTGAGTCTATTTCTGGGGAGGAGGAGCCTCGTGGGCATGTCTTTAATACTTGTAGACCCAGCCGTATTGGATCCTGACGGAGTCATACCCATGTCTGGATGATGTCTCCACCTACTAGGAGAAAGGATAAGTATTTTTTAATCCTTTACTCCTTCCAGAAAAAATCTGACTATATGGAACAAGTAGTGACATGGAGGGTGATTGGTGAATTGAAAAATCCACTCTTCTTTCAGAGAAAACTCTACTGTGAGCTCTGGTGGCTCAGTGGTTAGAATGCAGTACTGCAAGCTAACTCTGACCACAGCTATAAGTTCGATCCTGACAGGCTCATGTTGACTCAGCCTTCCATCCTTCCGAGGTCAGTAAAATGAGATCCTAGACTGTTTTTAAAGAAAGTGCATGATGCCTATTACTTTATGCAAAATAAAGGAGTATTATAAATTTATTTATTCTCCAGATAGGATAACAAAAGTACTCCCAAAGCTCTAATTATATTTATCCCCATAAGCACTTAAAAGAATAATGTTGTGATTCCTCTGGGGGTAAAATGAAAGTTGACAATGAAGAAGCTGAAATTACACGACTGAATTTCTAATTATACCTGCAGCATAAAGAAGACTCCTTTACAACAAACAATTTAAGCCAAAGGCAGCTATATAATAAACCACAATTATATCAAAATGAAATAATGCCATGATATCATACAAATGAGATGTGTTATGAGATCTGATGCATTTACTTGTGGGCATCATGGTGCACATATTGTCATTTATTCCCTTGAAGACATCACAGAAATATAACCTATATAGTGATTAACATAATACAGATGGAGATCCACTCATCTGCTCCCCATAAAGTACTGAGGCTACATGGCACCATTCCAAAAGCGGGGTCCATTTTGGAAAGGCCACAATTCACTGTGGCTGTTCCCAAAATGGCACCCACTTTCATGACAGCACCACATGGCTTCTGTTTAGGAAGGTTGCCTGGTTAATCAGCTTCAAGGAAAACTGGCTGATCTGTCCTTCGGCTTTCGTATTAGAGTATACTGTTTGCTTCCTGAAGGAAATCTATAGAGAAGGTAAGTGGACTAAGCTGGACTGAGGGTCTGGGAAGGAGTGTGTGGGAACTCAGCAGGGTGGGAAGTGGAGCAGGGGATATCTCTAGGGTGGCAGAGATCCTGGGAAGCCATGTGTGAGCTAGGGAGGTGCTGCAATGTGGGCTTGGGTATGCGCTAGGATTGCCAGTGCTTTTCTCTACCTGAATCACTCCATGCTCGGACTGCATGATCCATGCAGTTACTTAATGACAATGGGAGAGCAGGGATTGCAGTCATCAAGCAAAGCAAGCATGTGGACACCTTGCTGGATGATCACAAGTTCTAGACCATTAAGTCTAGAACTACCTATATTAGCACAGAGGTTCAAAGAGTGGCATTAAACAAATTCCTATAGGCTAAGAGCAGGGGTAGTCAACTGCTGGTACTGCTGACTTTTGTATCTCTGTTAGTAGTAAAATTTTCTAACCGCCCACCGGTTCCACAGTAANCTGGGAACCGAAATGGCAGAGAAGCGCATGCGTAGACCGAGACGTTCTGACTCCTCCCTTACTGTTAGATGAGATAAGAGTGTGATCTCACGCTGTGAAGAATTGGAAGGCTGGGGTGTGTGTGTCTGTGTGTGTGTGTGTGTGTGTGTGTGTTTTGCGGTGGAGGGGACAGCGGCTGTCGGATACCGGGATTGGATGAATAAAATGCTTCTTATTAATAGCCACAGAGGATGCCGGGAGTCCCTTGGCGGAGTCCCAAAACTTGCTTTGCTTCCGAGACTCTGCATTCAATCCATATTGATTGCTTTTAATCTAAAAAATATTCTTCCGGTTATGATCATACGGGGAACGGTCAATATATATATATATTAATAATATTAACAGAACAAATTATTTCCAGGCATCTTCACGATATGATCCATCTGGAATCAATTTAGTTGCTTCTTACTCATTTCACATATTGCTGGAACCAACAGTATAATGAAATAATGGTGTTCAGAGGCTTAGTTTTTAAAAAAAAAATCACAAAGGGCATAATAATTTCAAAGCAATGGATTCTATGTGACAACTATTATCAGATCCACAGAGAAATCTAGCAGGTTTTATAGAGGCAGTATTTTTCTTTTCAGTCTCAAGTATTTTTATCAGTGTCTCAGCCCATTAATCAAGCCAAGATGAAGTTTAGATTGAAAAAAAGACATTTTACTCATAAATCCTCAGAATTATAGGTGATAATCCCATTTATTTCTTATAATCCAAAATTATCTTCTAGGCCTAGACCAATTAAGTTGACTTCATGATGGGAGGCCTGAAAGCCAGATTTTTTTTAAAAAAATTCCAGAATACTGCTCTGAAATAGCTTGTCTAAAATTTTTTATAGAAAGCAGCCAGCATTTTCATAATTCAACTTCAGAGGTATTAGAAAGATAGATTACAATGCTTTGTAATTTTTTTTCTTTTTTCCCTTTTTTTCTGCTATTATAAGACTAAAAGATAAATGCTCTAAAAAGAAAGAAATCAAGAGGAAGAAAGGAATCTATTTAACAACGCTACACAATAAACTGTATAGGAAGTCAATCTCAAGATCCTATCAGGCAGGCAGTATTAAATCAATTTTATTTGGAATTTAGTATCAGTGATTCTAACATTCCGTTGATTTTTCTATTTGGCCCTTTTTAGATTAAATGCTTACTGTACTTATATATTAGATTGGCGCGGTGGTTGAGCGGTTAAGATGTTGGTTTGAGACCCAAGTGACACGCGACAGGGTAACCTCTTGTCCTTGCTCTAGCTCCTGCCAACCCAGCAACTTGCTTTCTAATTTTCCCATAACTGAAGGAGAAAGTCTATTACAACAGAATTTTAAATCTTCAGTTGAATTAGAACACAAAGAAATAACCAACGGATTCTTCATCAACCTGCCCCAATCAGGAACCATTTGGCTGAAGACCAAACGTAAGTCAGGACATCTGATTATAAAGACAGAATCTCAATTATAAAATCAGAATCTCAATTATAAAGACAGAATCTCAATTATAAAGACAGAATCTCAACAACTATCCAGTTGTTTGTGGTCTGCAGAGCGAGCTCATCTTACTTCTGAAGATGCCAGCCACAGATGCTAGTGAAATGTTGGGGAGACTGTTGGTTACTGAAGCCTAGCACTATCCAGGCTCAAGGTACTTTATTCCCAAATAATTGAATAATAGAGGTTTTGCCATCTTAAACCAAATCAATGTAGCTGTGCAATGGTTTGGACTTAATTCTAGAAGGGTGCTTTATATAAGGGTATGAATGTAGAACATATTTGCATTGGTTTTGCATCTTTTGCAGCATCTTTTCCTGAATTAGGAAGGCTGGTTTCTGCAGCTGTTGTGCAATCCTGGGAAAAGTTATATCTGAGGAGTTACTATGTCCATATATACCTCCATACATTCTAATATACCGGTATTTTTTAAATCTTGAGTGTTATGCTGATACAGCATGGGTTGCACAGGTAAACCCACCAGTGGCTGGTCAGGTTAGGTGGTCTTAATAGAATGGACCTTATAGATTCATTTTAGTTTGGCCTTTTACTCCAGTGCCCTGGAGTCCCAAAGTTGACTTTTAACTTCCTCATATTACAAATAGGGCTGAACAGNACTAGTGGGCGGTAGGGACCAGGTTGACTACCACTGAGCTAGAGGTTCAGCTAGGTTACTAGCTAGATGCCTGATGATTACTCCATGCACAGAGACAGATATCATTATTTCATCAGTTTCCAAAAAATCATAGACAAAGTCTCCTCATGAATTATGAGGATTTTTTTTACGATCTTGCAAACAAATCTAAAGTGAAAGTAAGTTAGGACGCTGTAGACAACCTAAACTGTATGGTTAAAAAAAAAAGTTAACATCAACTACCAGGAGGGTCATATTCTGAATTATTGTCCCCTTTGATCCATAGGAGGCCTATGAAAATGTCGTAATAAGTGTGCTCATCAAAAGTAAACTGTTTATACCTCCCCACTTCCTTCTTCATAACTTAGCTATCCTCAAATAACACTGCAGCCTTTGAGACGAATGTATGCAACGAAATTTCATCTTAATGTGTGCCGATTAGTGTACAATCAAAGTGACAATAAAGTTATTATTCTATTCTATTCCCTATGGGGCAAATAGGAAAGGCTGCCACATTATTGGTTATTAGTTCGCTGTGAACACAATTAAGCACATACCTGAATTGGCCTGTAAGTATAGCAAATGAGACCAAAATCATTTATTCACCCTACACCACCAGACTTTATTAGAAAGGCCACGTACAAGTCATGAGAGCCCCTAGACACCACTGGATCCCATCGTTTCGCTAAGACAACCGTCATCACCCCTCTTTTAAATTTTTTAAACCTATTTCGTTGTATACATGATGTACAATGACAATAAAGGCTATACTACTATTTTCAGTGGCTGCCTGTCTCTTGGGGGAGGGACCTTCGATCCGCACTTAACTGGCAGCCCATTGCAGCTCCACCGGACTAAAAGATCACTTAACTCTACGCCGCAGAGGCCAACTTGATACCTCCGGAAACATCGCCCCCCCCCCCCGGGCATGGCTAGAAGGCCAGAGCCTTTCAGAAACGCCTGCCCCGCTGTTCGCTCGGATTCAGATAGACTGCCGGTGAACGTGGAGGCTTTAATCCACCCTCCCGGTTAACAAAGCGCGGCGTCGAGTTTCTAGCCGAATTCCCCTCTTCCAAGGCACCTCGAAGCAAAGCGGCGAGGAGGGCTCTGCCTTTCAGTCACAGGCCGGCCTTTCCTGAATTCCTCCCCCGGAAAGGCGGAATGGAAGTCAACCGGCCCAGCCCTGACGTCCCACCGCGCTTACCCTCCTCCTCGTTGGAGGCGCCCCGCTTCCCGTCTCGGGAAGACCCAGCAACACCACTGCGCCGCCCAGCTGTTGCCCATGGCATGCTGAGAGAGGGGCGGCCGGGGGCGCTCGGGTCACCCACCGACGTAGCGCCGGAATCGGTTACCACAGTCCCTCGGCGGCGAGCGGAAGAAAGAGGTGGCGGGGCAACAGCTGTGGCGGCTACGGCTCTCGGGCATGGAGGAGAAAGGGACACGCGGCGGAGATCAGCCGTTACGGCGGCGCAGCCGAGGAAAGCAGCGACTCCGCTCCTTCCTCCGCCTCATGGAGCTCCCCCCCACTCCCTCACGTTGTGACGGCGAACTCGGCAGTCGCGTGTGGCCGTCAGCCACGCCCTCGAATCATTCACCACCCGGGGCTGGGAACCGAAATGGCAGAGAAGCGCATGCGTAGACCGAGACGTTCTGACTCCTCCCTTACTGTTAGATGAGATAAGAGTGTGATCTCACGCTGTGAAGAATTGGAAGGCTGGGGTGTGTGTGTCTGTGTGTGTGTGTGTGTGTGTGTGTGTTTTGCGGTGGAGGGGACAGCGGCTGTCGGATACCGGGATTGGATGAATAAAATGCTTCTTATTAATAGCCACAGAGGATGCCGGGAGTCCCTTGGCGGAGTCCCAAAACTTGCTTTGCTTCCGAGACTCTGCATTCAATCCATATTGATTGCTTTTAATCTAAAAAATATTCTTCCGGTTATGATCATACGGGGAACGGTCAATATATATATATATATTAATAATATTAACAGAACAAATTATTTCCAGGCATCTTCACGATATGATCCATCTGGAATCAATTTAGTTGCTTCTTACTCATTTCACATATTGCTGGAACCAACAGTATAATGAAATAATGG